GCATTTTTGGGCAGATATTTACCAAATGAAATAACAGACTACATAAATCGTGATGTATATTTTATTGACATCTCACATTTAAAATGCAGAATTGGAACTTTTACTCCAGGGACAGCCAGGAACTAAATTATTTTCTTCTCTTTTCAGTCATGGCAAGTTCAGGCTACACACGAGTTTTGGTTCATCTGAGAAAGACCTCTGCAGTGGAAACTTACCAAAAGGCCAAGTTTAGTGAATGTATATTAGATTTCCTAGGATTTTGTGGAGATGGCATGGTGGAATGTCACTTAGAAGACAATAGACTTCTCATCCAACCTTCTGCAATGGAGAGCAATTTGGAGAATGCAAAGACGGCTACAAATCTGAAGAAAACTCCCTCATATAAACTAGTGGTAAATACTGAGGTTCTAATTCTAGAACAAGACTACTAAAGAGTAAGAGTATTCATTTAATCAAAGGGTGCAATTTTTATTATTACAGTTGTTGCTGGCCACTGTGTCAGGTGCCTCCATTCCCTGCTTACTTATCTTGTGCTTGTCTTTTACTTATACTTATGCCTTCCTTTGTTTTGTAGGTGCTTTAGTTCCTTTATATGTTTTGTAGGTGTATATATCAGCAAATTTAGTAACTATATTTTGTTTCCAATTTTCTCATTTATAGTCTAGATGTTATAGCAGAAATTGTATCTTTTAATTATGTATATATAGATTATTATAGATATTTGTGAAGGGAGAAGTAGGGTTTACTTACCTTTTCAAAATATTTTGAAGAGTAAAATTATATTTATATATGTATTCTACATCAGTGCAAATATATAAAAACAAAAATATAACGAAACAAATACAGTTTCCAAGAAGAGTTGAGGGCAGCAACATGAATAATGGAAAGGCATTGAGAGAGCATAGGAAAAGCCATGCTCAGGGCTAGGCAGAGGGCTAAAGTCTTAAGAGCTCCTGTAAACTCCCTTATATACACTTTTTCTCCACCAGTGCAAGAGAAGAAAAAGCAGGAGAGGTTAAATATATGTTAAAAATCTCATGTGAAGTTCTGCATAAAAATACTTTCTCCAGAAACTAAATTTAGGAAATAATTGAAGTAGATATAAATATATTTCTAATTATCACTATAGTCCAAAGCCTGCCTCAATAATAACATGTAGTAATCAGTGAAGCTGAGAGGAATATTTGTTTTTGATCCATACTCAATAATGCTTGTATAAATATGAGCTGATAGTACAGTGTATGTATACCATTCATTCAGGCCCAGATTGAGATATATGTGCATTAGTATTCCCAGGCATTAATAGGCAAATAGGAGTACACTAGATGTCTTGAATGGAATAAATAATACTTTCATTTCTGTATTACATTTGCCTAAATACTGAAAGAGCATTTGGATCCTTGAATCAGTATATTGTTGAATAAGAAAGGAAAAATGGATTGAATGCTGATAGTGGTTGTTGAGAAATGATGAAGATCTTTTCTTTAAACAATTTATGTATATATTCTGTATCCTGTTTAGTATCTTCTGAGAAATGTTTTCTATACTCTTCCTGTGGAAACCATGGTAATATGAGGTACAATATTCTGTAAATTGATGTATATTTTGCTTGTGATTTAGTGTTCTAGGTATATAAATAGTGATTAATCCCATTTTCATCCTTGCAGCACCCACCATTCTGCCCTGTTCAGCATCTTGATGAGGATGGAATAGCATCATTAGACCCAGAAATCTACAACAGAGGTGTAGATGTCGGAGTTGCAGTCATTCTTGAATCAAGTGATAACCGTTTGCTGTTGACCAGGAGAGCACCCCACATGAGGACATTTCCAAAAACATGGGTTCCTCCAGGGGGCCACATAGGTTGGTAACCTGAAGAATTCTATATTTAAAGTGAAACAAGATGTCATGCTCTGAAGAGAGAGAGAAAAAAATAAAATATTGACTTATGCCAACTTCATCTCAGAGGAAGGAGAGACTTTAGAAGATGCTGCATTTAGAGAGTTAGAAGAGGAGACAGGACTTGTTCTCACACCGACTGAGAAAAAGACCAGTAACATTTTAGGTCTCTGGGAATCAGTTTATCCTCCTGTGCTCCCAATGGGGCTTCCAAAGAGACACCATATTGTTGTGTACTTGCATATAGTACTTGACAGGACATCACAGGATTTGCAGAATAACTTCAAGGTAAGATTTGTTGTTTTATTCCATGAAATTTATTTTTGTGAGTATTGATAACAATAATTTTTTAAAGGAAATATAGTATTGCATTATATTGACAATGCTGCAGCTTAGCATACTTTCCTTGGAATCCTGTTATAAATTATTTTTTCTTGCTTTGGTAATTGTTGAAATCATGTTGATACAGATTTACAAAGACAACCAGATATGCATCAAAATATATTGTCTGAATACTCTTTTACTGCTGTTCTTTTTATCACTGTGCTGTAGAAAATAAATTGCTTAAGAAATATAATCCCTTTTTCATTATGAATTATAAATGTTCATTTTCAGGGAATGAAATCTTCTTTTCTGATTTTTCTGATTAGTTGTGTGGAGAGGAGGTAGATGCAGCTGTTTGGCTGTCACAAGACCTTGTCAGGTTGTCAGTCTGGAGAAATGACAGCAGTTCTGATGCAGCTGATGAATTACCTGTAAAGAACGAAGAGATTCCAATAACCTTGGTTAATCGTGCGGGAGGTTAGTATAAATACAAGTGTGAGTCCTATATATTTTGTGAAGTAAATAGCATGGTGAAGCATGATACTTTGGTATGCAAATGGTAGAAATTAGTTGTGATTTTTAAAGGTTATTTGTATAGAAAAGCTTTTTAGTTTGGCTTCAAGAAATTAATTGGAAGTTGAATTGGAGAATCAGAAGAAGCAGACATAATATTTGACTTTTGTCTTTTAAGTATTTAAGTGCTTTATACTCTTCTATTCAGAGTTCCTAATTTTATTGTAAGACATAAAAGCCTCACAAATTCTCTTAGAAATGTTCAGTTTCAAAAGTAGTTTATATATGAAGACATCTGCAGTACAAATTGAATAAATATATTACTATTTTCCAGAACATGCATCTGGTTATCTTGATTCAGAAATTTTGAAAGAGAAGACATCCAATGAGGACTTGAAAAGGGAGAGAGTCAGCACTGGAAGCAGGTGGGTTTTCGTAAACAGAATGACTCTGTGTCAGACTCTCATTTACTGTCTCATTCTATGCATCTGATGATTTAGAAGGAAATGATAAGCCTCCTTTAATAGAATTTCTGAATGTATTATAAGTGGGATTTTACTTTTGTAACTGTTCTAGTATTATCTTTCTTTGCACTGTTCCATGAATGGACTAACTTCCCTACATGTACATATACCTTTTGTATATGTTTAAGTGCAGCCTAATTAGTAATATTTCTTTTTACAGGTATGCTTTGGCTTTGTGGTTGGAAAAGAAATCATTAAATGTGAACAGAACATCAGATAGTCTCCAGAAAGATTTATACAAACGATTTCTTTTGAAGGATGATCATGATAAAGAAATTAATACATCTAAAGCCTCAAACTTGTGATTAATTCTTTTATTCTTGTCTCTGACAAAGTCATTGTATGCCATCAAATGTTTTTAATTTCTTTATGAAGGTATTAGTACCATGCATTTTTTTAATTACTTAAACTTTTTAGGTGGTACAATAATGTAGAACATAGGTTATTAACATTTTTTTGATGGTACAGACAAGTCAGAAAAGGTATATATAAACAAGCCATTAAAATATATAAATATACTCATTTTAGATAAACATTAATTTATCTTTTGAATTTGGTGAAGCATATAGCCTCAGGGAATATAATTATAGTTTATTGATTTAATTTATGTGTAAATATCTCTACAAGTGCTTACTCACTAGGGGTCATTTACTAGTCCCATCTGATCTCCTCCATTTACTCTATTCTTTGAATTTTTGAATCTTTGAAGTTTTTTTTCTGTTATTACAATCAGTATTGTTAATAATGTTATAATAATAATAGTAATGATAATATCAGTAGTGTTAATAACAATAATAATGCTATTAGAAATGCAGACTATTTTCACAAAAAATCATGGAATGGAGTAAACAGGTGGACAAGTAAGTCTAATAATTGCCTCCTTGGTAATCCAGAACTTGTGAGGTTACATACCTGTAAACAGAACTGACAAAAAACTTAAGTGCATTTACCTGGCATCAGTGAGATTATATCATTATTGTATTGTTGTACACTGGTCTGCATACTTACTACTCAATAACAACAAACAAACAGATATTTATGATACCAAATAAGAAACATTGTCTATAAGGCTGATTACCAGAGGAGGAAAAATTACTGTAGCTGATGAAACAAAAATTGTTTGTTAGTAAATGACTAGTCATTTGGTCATTATGTACTTCAGGGACACATCCTGAAGTATATGTTGTATATTATGTGTAAATAAAATAAACATGAATTGTTTCTACTTTTTGCATGAAAATTACAAAACTTGATATCTGAGTCCATGTAAAGAAGAGGATTAATTTGAGTAAGATCCCGAAAATAGAAAAAATAGATAGAGTACACAAGATGCTCTTTGCTTGATAATTACTGTAAAATTGTGAAATGCTATGTTACTGAATGGACAATTACATAGCTATGAATATATTTTAGAAAAAAAAAAAAAAACATGGATAATCAAAAAATAAAGTGATGGGAAGGCATAACATATAAAACTAAGATGTGCACTGAATAACAATTTTGCTGCACATTACCTTACCCATTATGTTCAAATTATGTGACACATAATTTCAATGGAGTATAACACTGACTTTGCCCTTCAGATTACTCTTTAGTGGATATTTTGCTGTAGCAAGTGTTGTCATGTGTTGCAAGTGTTATCATGCAAACCCAGACAATACTGATATTTGTAGTAAATTAAATAAATTGCTGATATCTAGTACATTTTTCAGATATGCCATGGACCTCTGGTTGGAGAAG